AATTAGAAGAAGGGAACCCTAGACTCACCTTGTACTCACGTGAGTTTTCCCTTAGTCTATCGGTCTTAAAACTTGTTGGCCCACAATAACGAATACCCAACACCGATTTGGCCTACTAATGGGAAGAGGTCTTGTTACTTGGTTCTCCTGTCTTAAAATTTGACCAGTCTGGTAACTTAATCATTCGGTTTGACGAAGGTTTTTTGTCACAAGCAAGACGTTAACCATTAGTTTATCTACCGAGTGTTTTCCGAACTCTTCCCTAGACGTTTCAAGCACATGCTTCCACTGTTTGAGCTGGCACCTAAGTACGTATCTGGTTCACCCTTTCCTATAGGTCACACCGGGATCTGTTTCGTTTTTGAAACTAAGTAATTCACGTCTTCTAATGATCAGTAGGACTGCTTTTTCCCCAGTACCAATGCAACAAAACCACATAATCAGGCGTTCTTTATACTTTCCGGGCCATCGTTTCACGCAACAGGACTTGTGGCTGATAGAAAACAAACTACCTTGCTCAGGTCCAAGGCACCTGGTTTTCCGTTGTATTGAAAACGTAATAATTGATAACCAGCTTCTTGACCGCTAGTATGCACGGATCGAGAAGTTTGTGAATGTAATACGCCGTGTGTGTTCATATATTTACTGGGAGGCGAGATTGTACAAGAATCTTCCTTACAAGCAGTGGTGTCTGGCAAAGGTATTCACTCCCTTTTTGCTTGACTTCGTCGTTGATGAGGTAATGGGGCGAATTCTGGAAGATCTAAAGCCCCGGAGTTTAGATCTATGAGCTCGATATGGCTCAGTGGTTATAGCCATGGATTTACTGATAGGAAAGTCCCTGGTTCGAACCCAACTTCCGCATCCCGACTGTCCCTGTCTAGGCTTTGGCAACTGGCCAGTAGCTCAGGCTTCGTACTTCCAGAAGGATGTTACAACTGAACTACTTTTGTTATGATATATTATTATTATTATTATCGTTAGACCTCGAAGAGCGAGGAACCCGTCGACCTGGGCTATGTAGGTGACATTGTTTTCATTTTTGAAAAAGATCAGGAGACATTCTAGAGAGACTGATCAAGTTCATTCAGTTCTTAGGTGGGTGCTTCGATGAGTGACATTGGAAGTTCTGAGACACTGTGCATTATCTTGGAATTTCCATAATAATACTCATTAATCGTTCAGCTAAGACACCGATTGGATGTTGGGGCTGAATGATGGACATTTTTTATTTTATTACCAGGAGTACGATGGCACCTTGAGGACAGGCTGTGATATACCGTAGCAGGTTCCGGGTGCAATGTCTAGTATTCTGTCGCCGTCCCAGGATCCCACTGAGTAGCAGATGGCCATGAGAATTGTTGCCCAAAATTCTGGACCCAGCGTTCAAGTTTTTTTTACACACTTTGGTTTTCGATGTTTTTGCTCACAAACGGTTTTTGGGGCCGGTCAGAAGTATCATTCGAGCATTACTGGCCTCTTCCATTACCTTAGGTTTTCGTGTCCATCAGGATTCACGGTCAGTTCGCACGATGGGTTTCACCTGTCGATCTGAATTATGTTTGGGACCGGTGGGGACTTTTCTCTGAGATTCCAGGAGTGCCAATTTTCTCTGTGGTATCTAGTGTTTGAGCGGACCTGGTAGCGCCGCGCCACAGGTAGGACTAACGGCGCTGGACAAAGACGTGGCGATCTTATCCCAGACGGTGAAGCAGTTGTGGGGGTCCTGATAAAATCGTTTGATTTCGGAATTTTCCAGCCTCTTACTTGTTGGGCCTTTTGCCCGCTATTTAAAGCAGAAACTGCGGTCGAGACCGACGCAAGATGAAAAGGGTCTTCAGTCTTTTCGGAGAGAGTTATTCATGGTGGGGAAAGAATGAGTAGATGTAAGCGAAATAAGAGAGGAGTCAGCAGTTGCTTGTTCTCGGTTGCTCGCCCTGTTGTATGCAGCAAGTAAGTTGACCCGGCTGATGACACCAGGCGACGTTCAATCTTGCATGACAGTGTTGTTAGTCGTAAGACTCATACTTGTACGTGAGCTACGAAATTACCAAGGCCACCAAACCTAGGGGGACGACTAGGGTCCTGGATCAAAGTGTTTGACCCAAAAGCCTCATCCCAAAGCAGCGGTAATTGGTGTACAAACCGAGTGCATGACCATTTTTGAAGACCGAGTCACCACACGTTCTAACCTTCGCCCTGGAGGGCCACGGGTCTGTGTTGATCAGATGGCCCAAGTGGTTAGAGCGCGAATTTACTGACCGGAAGGTTCGTGGTTCGAATCCGACCTCCGCCACTCGACTTCCCTGTCTAGGCTTGGGCAACCTGACAGTATCCCAGCCCTCGTGCTTCCTTCGGGTGGCATGGCAGCTAGGCACCGGAAGGGTGCTACAGCTGAACGCTGATCAGACTCCTGACTAACCAAGTATAAGAGACCGCGAGTATCACACTGACACCCCCAGTATACCTCAACGGGTCACAGGGGCACAATCCGTCACACTGCGATAAAGTCCAGTGTTTCTTTGATGGGTTGACGACTGGTGTCTCAGAAATAGGGCCGGAATCGGCAGAGGCCATCTAATTCGGGAATGTGATCAGGAGACATGTCTTTAATAAAATGCAACATATTTCACTAAAAGAATGTATCCGGTATTGCAAACTAACCTGGGTCCTGTGTTACTCATTTCTGGTTGCCGGTGACTACGAAGAGCTTTACTTTTTATGTCCGTTCAGAGTGGTTGAAACCTAAAGGTGGGGTCCATGTGCCATTACCTGTTCTTCGCTGGAGACAGCGATGTGATGACATGACTTTCGGAGACTCTTCTTGCTTAATGGGGAACCCGGTTCCAAAAAACCTGTCAGTCACACTCAATGGGTGTGATGGTCTGCTCGTACGCGGTCGAGGCACAAATTAATCCGTCCATCTACGATAACCTGACGGATGGTACAGCGTTGAACATATCACATATCTGCCGTGCTGATCCTCCTGAGTATCGATTGGGCTGTTGACTTAGTTGCTTTCTGGGACGGTCTGTGAGGGACCTCAATACCTATACCTCAACATCGCGCGGCCGCTATACCCATGCCGCTGTGCTCAATTCAGAGTTACCGATCAAATTCCACTTTCTTTCGAAGCCCCGATTAGGCTTAAGATACGGATATCCATCATCATTCTTGCTGGCTGAATTGCTGGACTCCTTCAGTGATATTTTCAAACTGCAACCCAGCCCCAAACCTAAGCAACCACGCGATTTCTATCTGGCGCTTCCACCTCAGTCACCTCAAGTGCACGGTGATGCTGGAGGATCTCGGCCTACAACTCAGTCTTGATGGTTCGTGAAGGCCATCAGAGTTTTTACTAATTTAGGATGCCGTTTCACGACAAGCACTGTTGTCGACACGCATTCGGCCCGAGGAGACCGCGCGGAATTCTGACCAGACCCTAACGCTGTTCGGTCAAGCACCTCAGATGCCTGTCCATAGTCTCCGCAGGCACGTGCTTTTCACTAAACCAAAAGCTACTTTTAACCTAGTGTATAATTATGAGAACGTTTAGAGTCCGACCTACAGGTTTCGGTGCATCCCGTCTTCCGGGTTTCGGTCCAAAGGGTGACAGCAATGTTTGGGTAATATCGCTTTCCGACAGTCGAACCCAGTAATGCACATGATGTGACTTTTATACTGACTTTTCACTAGTTTTTTTTAAGACAACCATCTTTGTTTCATCCGTTTCACAATGTATATGCACTTTACTTTTCTACAAGAAGTTTGCCCGAGCCATAATGTGGCACTGCATTTAAACCTCCGGTGTCAGTGTAGGCCCGAATGTGATTTTCGGACTTGTTGCCTAAACATGAAATATCGGGCGCTGACACCTGCTTCTGTCACCGAGACGCCGACTTCATTATTTGGTTTCTCCAAGTTTCAACTTACGACAATACCATTGTGGTGCCGTACACATTCCATGCAATCACCTATTTGTCTTTTTGAGTATAGGGGGTACAACAGGAGTACGGCCAGTCGTCCAGTTTCCTAAATCAGACAGAGGAGCATGGGTGGGGGCAACGCGCCTAAATAACTTCCCAGCATTTTCAGTTACACGCTTTCTGTTCTTGATGAGCCTGGTTATTTATGCTGATTCACTTAGCCAGGAGCCTCTAAAACGAAGCCCTGCTCCCATCGTGCAGTTCTTTTCAGGTAAATTGAAAGTTGCAGGGCTCCGAGCTGGTGTTACTGTCAATGATGGTTATCAGTTCACCTCTGGCACTGCAAGGAATCAACTTGTTGACTTTGAGGCTCGTCTGAGGCCTGTTCAACCAAACAACGAGGTTGTGTTTTCATTTTTCTCCTCCCTACAGGATATCTGAGTAATGTTGCCGTTATTCAACTATAGACGGTATAACTTGGTCCCGATCGCCAAAATTTCGTTCGCCAAGAGAACAACGGCAGGACTTATGTATGCGACAGCTTTCACACGGTAGTTTTTGACCGTAAACTGTCGTCACGCTGGTGCCATGACCCATTAAGGTTGACCGATTAGTGTTTTCGCCTTTCGCCGGTGCACAAAGGCCTATACAACTACCTACGTTTTATGTGATCACGGGATACAGTTTTCGTATACCATGTTAGTGAGTGAGTGAACTTCACTCCAAACCGCAGTCTCAGATAGTCTCTCAGATTAGTTTTTGAGCCTTATGTGTGTAATGCTTGACCAGGTCATATCAGGCATTCATTTCATAGTTCTTTTTTCGTATGTTCGACCGTTCGTCCTATCTATTCTTGACCTACTAAATACAGACCATACTCCTTGATTTGATGTGTCAGTTAGACAAATAAGTAAACATACGTGAGAATCCAGGACAAAATATGTCCTTCCATCAAACGACATTAGGGCTAAATCGATTCATGCTTGGTGCTGCTTCTGAACAGAACCACTTGTTGCTGTTTTGATTTCCACGTTTCGTTTGACCTGATTACCCCTTTTTTTCTAACCCTCACAGCAAATATGCGGAGGCTCTGGCGGACTCTTCACGACGATCGTTTACTAACCCACTTGGTGGAGTTGATCCTGTACTTGCAGCTGCCGCTGCCGCTGCAGTCATGAATGCTGGTCTCATTCCTCAAGCAGGTGCTGGCGGGCTGGCAAATTTCAGCTCTGGCGGAAATTCTTCTAATTCCGCTGCGGCTGTCGCGGCAGTTGCAGCTGCAGCGATGAATGCCGCAGCAATGGCTGCAGCTTTGGGCGTGGGCAACACATCTAGCAAACAAGCATCTCAACCAAGGAAACCTTCCAATGCACCGCGTCTTTCTAACCGTCGTTCGGTAGAGTCCTCCAACGTAAGCGGTGCGCGCACAAAGCGTTTTGCAAACAGCCGTAATTCTCGTGACTTACATTCTATCTCGGAAAGAGAGAGGGACGCCTCTCCAAATCAGGGGCGCTTCCCTCACCATCTAGATCATCGTAACCCCGAGGATGATCCCACTGCTACCAGAACCCTGTTTGTCGGTAACCTGATGCCGGAGATTACAGAGGAAGACTTACGCAGTCTGTTTGAAAGGTACGGTTTTATCGAGGATATCGATATCAAACGCCGTGACCCAGGTTCCGGCATTAACGCGTACGCGTTTATCCGTTACGTTAACTTGGATATGGCTCATCGAGCAAAGGTGGATATGTCTGGTCAGTTGATTGGTCAGTTCACATGCAAAATCGGTTATGGAAAGGTGGTACCCACTCGTTGCCTGTGGATAGGTGGATTAGGACCATGGATCACCTACCCCGAGTTTGCAAACTTACTGGAAGAATTTGGACCAACAGAGAAAATTATATGGCCATCTGGAAAAAACTACGCGCATGTGCTTTTTCACAGCGTCGAGTTAGCAATTACTGCTGCTGATGCACTTCGTGGATATCCTCTCGGTGGTGTTGCTAGAAGAATACGTGTTGATTTTACAGACGAGGCTCATATGATCCGGGATCCATTGAAACGCCGTCGCCTAAATGACTCTGCTTCACTGATAGACGTTGGTCCTCTGGGACACAGGGGTCAATTTCACTCCCGAATGGATAGAGAGGATGATCCTAGACCCGTTGAGCGTAGTCGAGGTAAACGTGAATACACTGCTGACAGTGATGAAGTCCGAGACAAGTCTGCTCTCTTTTCTTCACTCGTGAAAGCCGATTCGTTAAAGAAAACCGCGCGATCCAGCCGTGATTTGTTGGTTGCAAAACGCAGAGCTCGTGCTACGACTCCCGATGAAGATTCAGAGCGTCCAATTAACTCAAAAGCTCCCAGATCCCCTAGGCATTCTCATTTAGATCGTTTGACTCTTTCAAGTAAACCCGTGTCTCCACAAACTGCCACAAACATAGAGCAGCTTGCTTCCTGCCTTCAAACTGCTTGGGATGGAGTATTTTTCCTCAAATCGAGTAGTTTTCCATGCCGAATGCACATACTTCGTGGCGATAAGAGTCTGGTTGACCAGTTCATGTCCTCCCGAGCTCAGTCATTTTCCAAAAGGGATTCGAGTTTGTCTCACTCAGGAAACTCAGCAGCAATCTTCCCTGGGATGTCTGGCAGCACTTCTGGTGGTAATGAAAAATCAGCCAACGAATCTGGTGCTTCAGTGTGTTTGCGCATTACGCAGCGCATGAAATTAGATCCAGTCAAATTGGAGGATGTAAACCAGCGAATCAACACGGCCGGAAATTCGGGATTCTGTGTATTGTTGGCTGTCCCTTCACCGGGTTCTACTCCCACTGACCCGACGGATAAACAACCCCAACGCCCACTTCGCAACCTGATATCCTACCTGCGCACGAAAGATTCCGCCGGTGTTGTTTTACTAAACCCGCTATGCGTCGGTCCGGGTAGTAATGATCCACAGTCGGTGACTGGGGTCCTCCACGCATTTCCACCCTGTGATTTCGCATTTGAGTTGCTCAAGGAGCGTGCAGTTTGTCTGCAGAAGGAGTACACCAGAGATGATCATCTTGTTGTTCTCCTAATTCGCAGCACTGGCACAATGTGATTTCATCGGCGGACTATTAGTATCATCATTCTCATTCCAGTTATCGTTTTCACTTACCGTCGTGTTTGTCCAATATCGATAACCCATTTTTGAACCTGACTCTCATTATCTGAGCATTTACTTGACACTACTTCGTGCGCCTATTGAAGTGAAATACGATAGAACCATATCTCAATTGATCACTTTTATGATCCTTTGGAACCTACACCTTGTGGGAAGTCGGACGGTCTAAGCATGTTGATGTGCTGCATCACTTAGCTGGGCCATGTGTAGCGTGTATGCTTTTAACCAAGGGGGAGATGAAAACATGAAGTACTTGGACGTTTGGCGAATTTGTTTCGTTACACATTCGGTAAGGAAATATTTAGACTTGACAGAACTGGTGCTATATAGTTGTTTTGTTCCTAACAAGAAACTTCGAATTCTGTCTCAAGCTGCGTGCGTAGCACTTCGAATGGATTCAAAATCCAATGAAGGTTATCGGTTTGCTCCTCCACACACCCGAGAATTCGATTGGGTGTAGTAAAAATGGTGGGCGCTGCAAGAGATCCCTGAGTGTCCTTAAAATGTACGAAATTGTGAAGACTATACGAGGAGGAATCGGGTAGTAAAGATAATCAGGTGTCGCCATCAATCGGAAGGCGAAATATTTTTCAGCGCAATCGGTTTGAAAACAGATAACGTCAGCCGATCACCGGTTTGTCAACTGGTGCTGGTTGTGTAGTCCGGCTTCAACTTCAGAAAATGGTGTATGCGCGCGAAAGGCTTGACCACGATCTTAAAAGCCCAGTTTTGGGCCTTCGGAGAGTTCTTAATGGCCTTATAAACAGTGTCTTGTCAAGAAGTAGTGTAACCTCGCACGATATTCTGGATGCAGTTTGCTGCACCTCCCTAGGTGCATGCCATGACAAACCAATAGTGAATGAGTGGTTTTACTCGAGAATTGTGATAACGCTTTTATTCATCGTCCTTTCCCAGACTAGAACCAACGAACTCGCCCCGTATACGACTGTGACCTGAACGATAGCCTGATTTGTTACCATACCGAAAACCCGTGACAGGATCCATATATCGATAACCGGTGCATAAGCCGGGTGTTCTAAATTTAAAGGATACCAATTTGACCGCCATTAAGAAAGAACAAAATGATGTAGCTGGATAGCATTATTGTAATTAGATCAAAAGCAGTGTTTCCAATCAATTGCAAAAAGTTTTTCAAACACATCTTGTTTGAGTGTAATACAGAGAATAATAGATTCCATTCATCTGGGCCAACTCGGCTGGCTTGCCTGCTTCTACCTTAACTCCATCAGCTAAAACCACTGCCAAGTCTGCTCCTTCGATCGCTGATAACCGATGGGCACTTAGGAACATCGTTCTGTCCGTTGCGAATTCGTTCAGGACATTTAGGATCTTTTTCTCTGTTGGGGGATCCAGCGCTGAGGTCGCCTCGTCAAGTAGCAGCACATTTGGACGGTGGATAAACATACGAGCAATGGCGATTCGTTGCTTCTGCCCGGTAGACAATTCGCGTCCATGTTGTCCACATGGTGTATCGTATCCCTATGGGAAGCAGCAATAACATAATCGATAAGTAAACGCGAATGCTATCAACAATGATGGGACCAATCAGTTGGATAAAAGTAACTGGGTAGAGGAATAATGCTAAAACTTGGTAGCAAGATGAGGATTCTGATAAAGAGGCCATTTTGATAGCAAAAGGTGACTGATCAAAGTGGGCTTAAATCCAAAGTTCAATTCCACAGTAGCGTCGTTAGACAGGATCAACGAAGCTTAAAGTATGTCTAAAACTTACATGGGGTAAACTTGCAATAAAGTCGTGGATCTGCGCATGGGAGGCCGCTTCGGTTATTTCACTCATTGTTACGTCCCGTGAGTTGTCTCCGTATGCAATATTCTCACGAATGGTGAGATCGAATAAATGTGGTTCTTGATCGACAATGCCTATCTGCTGTCTCAGCCAAGTGGGAGAAACAGTTTCTATGCGATAACTGCCCACAAATATGCCACAACCATCTGTCCGCGGTGCCGGTGTGCAGTCGTAGAGTCGCTGCAACAGCTTGAAAACGGTGGATTTTCCGCACCCAGAGTGCCCGACTAGGGCAACTGTTTGACCAGGACCGATCGTCTGTGTGAATGACTGCGAAAAGGGCAATCGAAAATAATCACAAAGGGATAGGAAACACCTGGGTAAACTAGCGCACGTCTATGTGAGTAGCTACTCACTATAAATGATGTTGAAACACTACTGTAGTGCTCTCAAACTGCATGGGTTCTTACTTGAATTCGAACTAAGCAACCGAAACTCATTCAGTGCGAGTATACAGATACGTATGATGTCTTTACCAGAAATATGCAGCATGTCAGTTCGGGGAAGATTGATGGTATGGAAAGCGCCCATTCCATTGGAAAATACATTTTAAACAAAAACGTAAGAGCTTGGGTCGAACATAGTATCAAATGCCAGCTGGTTTAAGCCTTGGGTTTGAAGCAGAGGTGTACGACAGGTCATCGGTGGCTCAGACACGGAAGCTGATGACAATCTCGACTGTGAGGTATGCAATTTATATTACTGCTGACACGACATTTCAGGAGAACTAAGTAAACAGTCAGACAGAGGCATTCAGAATACATGCAACTCACATTGAGGACTTTAGACGCTGGACGGGAAGCGTAGCTGAAAGAAACCTTGTTGAAAACGATTGGTACCTCGTTCAGCGCTGACGTAGGTGTCATGCCTTCGGAAACAGGGATCCGTGGCTCTCTGTCCAATATTTGGAAAATTCGAGTGGAGGCGCGGGCAGCGTTACGTAAATCCGTCCCTAGGTGAGACGATCGTCCTAGGGCTTGCGCGGCGAAACTGATGGCGGCAAATACCCTGCGGATCCATAATGGATGATTAATTAGGTACGCAAATGAAAGTACCTGGAACATTACACAAGTAATGGGATTTGTGTACTATCGTGCCCAAAACATGAGTCTGCCAGCAATAATTACAGATACGGCAAATGCATGCGGGTTTCTGAAGGAGCCACTGTCAAGTGGGCTGAAGGAAGACTTTCAGAATTCACGTGAGAATTCTGTCGAACGAAATCCCACTAACAAATTCATGTCAAAACTAGCCTAAGCTATTTCGGATGCCTTGCAACTAACTTTGACACGTAGCTCGGCGTAGCGAAAGAAACACGCCCACAAGGGGTGCTCTGCAATGATAATTTCCAATAAAGTATCTTGCTATCCAAGTGCTTACTTGCTGCCATTACGCTATATTTCATTAACTGATGTAAACGAATTCAGCTAGTGGGTGTTTGTCCCTTGTGTCAGGCGAAGAAATGACAAAGGTAAAATTCGGAACTGATGACGCAGGTAGGATATACATTCAGATAGCTTGTGCACTGCAGCTAATAAAACTGAACCACTAAAACGCTGAGGAAGATGCACCGTTCAGTCTCAATGTATAGATGTCTCAGTTCTGGTGAAGAAAACAGTACCGGACATTTTTCCGCTGATCTCTACACACACAGTGCATGTGTACACAATGCGCCAACAGCAGTAGAAGCAGCCGAATGACGCATGGCTGAAACTAAAAAATATCGGAGGAGCGAACGTCACGAAATGCTTTTTGATGGCCAGTATCCGTTTACAAGTTAAACTGTCGAAGCGAACTAAATCGTACGTCCACGACAACAGAGAAGTTTGAGCTGATTTATATCTAGTGTATGAAAGCCGTCAAACGTGATGCGAATCTGGGGAATGAAAGTGAAGAGGCATCGGGGCTATTCCCCTACGTGATGTTGTCTGACTCGAAAGGTCCATTCTAATAGGGGATAACTGATACAAAGAGTCAAACGATTGCTTTGTGGATACCGCGGGAGGCTGTCTCCTTCATTGCCTCATTAAAACACTGAAAAATTCTCATCCACTGGTTTCCCTTGTTAAGATAATAGGGCAAGCCAATTGCCAAGCTCGGTGAACAGATCAACAGCCACCTGATCAACAACCAACAATAGGACTTGTATCAACCCCACTCAAACCCTTAGTCCTAGATGCGTGTGGAGATGTTACTCACGGCCCACCTGCGTGCCTGCTAGGATAAGCTCGCTGGGATCGAACACTGCGAAAATGTATGATGTTATTGTACCATACAGACCAGACCTGAACAGTGAGTTGTCTTACCTGAATATAGAAACTAATGCAATTTCACCATGAGACATCAGGTAGGCCCCAAAAGAGAATGCAGCAGCGTACGAACAAATTGGCAAGGACTGGGCCAGAGCGTATACCACACCAAAACCAAAAGATTCACGTTCTCGAGATCTGGAAATAAAAGCGAAAAAGGGATTGCTGTCCACCGACGCTGGAATAACAAGCAGTTGGGGAAAATCAAACAAGCCAGACCGACGTTATGTACCTTAGTTCGGGATGCAGGTAAGCGGAATAGCATTCATAGAAGTAGGCTTCCAAACCAAAAGCTGCAACCGTCCTGTTCGCTGAGAGAGCTTCGTATGCCACCTGAGTAGCAGAAGTCTTGGAATCCGAATCCGGTGACCTCCTCAGTTGCCTAGTCTGGTGTTTTCGAAGAAATACGGAATAAAGCACGATTAGACATGTACTGACTTAGTTGAAGATCCCGTCTAACATCCACGCCTGCACAATAAGCACAGCTATTAAATCTGTTCTACAAGGGAATTAATAAGAGTTTCAGGAAAGCTTAACTAACTGACACATTTTGCTTCTCCAAAGACTGAACTGCTAGATGCAAATCGGTCAGGTGAACAATTCACATCGTGAATGTAAGATCCACTCCACCGTAGACATTTGTGCAGCTGGTAAATTTGGTTCACATGGTATTTTTTTCTAAAATGGTTGTCTATTCGATATCAGTAAGTGAAGGACCGTAGTGGTTGATGAACAGATGTCGGACAGGCACCGCAGATAATCGATAAATTATCCATCATCTTTTTTGTGGAGATTTCGTCCTGTAAGTGAAGCCAATCTATGCTGAAAAGCCGAGAAGCACTGTACAGCTGTTTCATCCTTATTGGGAATCATCAGCAGTGCGCATCTCACGAAACTCAGAAGAGTCTCGAACCCTCGACCTTCCGGCTAGTAGTTTGAACACTTGACCGTTCGGCCACGAGGGGCTGAACAGCAGTGTGAATAACTCGCACTTAGACAGGATATGACGCCGCTCGTCCTTCAATCACGGGATCCACATCA